TTTTGTCCCTGGAAGTTTTCCTGTTGACTCTTTGAACCAGTTTCCAGATACCAATGCCCAAGGACCTTCTGGACCCTTTGGCTTTCCACAGAGGACAGTCTGGGTTCTCTCTGAGGCAGAAGCATAAGTGTGCATGCTGGGCGTCCGCCATTCAAGGGACTAGGAATGGCCCTGACATCTAGACCAGCTCTCGTTTCAACCCCACAGTCATGTGGTGCAGCTCAGGGTTCTCCTCCAGAGTTACATCCTCTGGTCTCCTCAGAGGTGTGGGAATTAGGCACTTACTAGCCCCAGCGTGTGCTTCCTTCTGCCCCAGATGCACTGTGAGGGACTATCTCTGCCCCCTTCTCATTGCTGCCGCCTTGAACATGCTCTTGCAGAGCAAGCGTACTCTCCAAAGCCACTTCAGCCTCTTCTGTCCTTCACAGTTCAGTCCTTTTTATATTTACTGTCATTTTAACGAGGTGTTAGGAGCTACAATCACTAGCTGAAAGCTCCTTGAAGTTCTTAATATTGCTATTAGTTTTGGCTTAACTGTTTGCCTAGGATGTCCAGTCTCCCGTGACTCTTGAATATAGACATGCTGCCCAGTGCTCATTTGTACCTTCAGAGCTGTGCATAGACTATCTGGGCCTTGACAGCTGATGGGGGGGGGAGCACATAAACATGGTCTGTTGCTTCACTTGGCCTTATTTCTTACTATTTCATTCTAAATTGCGCTTCTAAACCAAATTAAAGTTAAATCGTAGAAGATAATGTTTCCCCCTTTTAAAAGAAAGCCTTGTTGTGAGATAGCACACATTTGTGATTCTAGCACTTGAGAGGCAAAGGTAGGATGATTAGGAATTCAAGGTCATCTTTATGATTATTATGAGTTGAGGCCAGCCTGGGCTAAACTTGTTCCCAAGAAATAAAATAAAGTAAGTCTTAAGCACTGAGATTAAATCACAGTGATGTTAACCTGAGTTTTAGGAACAGGGGACAAAGGCTACAGCAGAGCGGTACACCTTTGAATGACTCATAATTACTCAGGCTAATGCATGTAAACTTGGATGTGCAATTAGGCAGCTCATTATGCTGCAAATGCAATTACATGCTTGAAGACAGCCCCTCCCTTTGGCTCACCTAGTCTGTGATCGCTCATTATTAAGCCTCAGCTGTCAGAATTGAATACAAATGCCGGTGATGGTGGGCTGTGGAGCCAACATGTAGTAAGCTGTAGGAGGAAATACAAAAATCTGTTCTCTCCCTAAAGAATCGTGCTGTACAAGCTTAAAAATTAATATGAAAAAATGCACAATATGTGTATTATGCTTAGCTAAGTTTGATCTATATTTACTACATGAAGCTGTGTTTAGAATGTATATTTATGTTGTAGTACAGTGTCATCATCTCTTTCTTACCTATAATTATTATATTTAAAAAAATTATAAAACCCCTTTTTTCTTTATTGTAACTGACCTGACTCCTTAGACTGCAAGCCTGACCTAGATTGACATTGATGAGGCACTGTATTATCTTTATTTTCTCCAGATAGGGGGTATGAATTAATATGATTCTTCTGTAGACATTCTTAATGGGCTATACAGTTGTGCTGTTCTGTGATGAACTTTTCTTGCGGACACAACACACCATCTACTCACCCCAGATAGAGAACTGACAACCACCAAAGTCTGGCTTGGTGAACCATGAGTTTTACTGAGGTTACTTATAGGAATATGGGTGAGGGGTTATTTATAAGAGCAGAAATTCCTCAAAAGACAACTGCATTACCAAAGCCCACTCCAGCACAGGTGACAATCACTAAGCTGGAACCCAGAGCACACTGCAGAGCTTACAGGCAGCTCACCAGGTTGGAGAGTGTCCTTCCCAGATGTCTCAGTTGGTCTAAGCCTTTTTGGGCTGTACAGCTGGCTTCTGCTGCTTCCAGGCAGCTGTCTAGTTTCAGAGTCATCTTTGCACCTTACCTTGTCAGAGGTACTCTCAGAGTCTATAGCTTGCTCTGACAGGGAGGGAGGGGCCTAGTGAATCCAGTCAGTTTCAGGGACTTCCTGAAGCTCTTTTGAGAACTTCCCTTCAAAATGGACTGTTTCAGTCTTGGTTATGTAACACTTGGGCTTTGGAGAGAAGGGTTTGGGGGTCACTTTGCCCTAGGCAATATAATAATTATTTACAACATAATTATTTGCTTGTTCTCGAGATAAGGTTTCTCTGTGTAGCCCTGGCTATCCTAGAATTTGCTTTGCAGACCAATCTGGTCTTGAACTCAGAAATCCACCTGCCTCTGCCTCCTGAACACTGGACCTAAAGGTGTGCATCACCACCACCTGCCTGCACTTATATCATATTAGCTTTTAAAATGATTTTTTAAATGTGTATGTGTTTGTTCCTGCATGAGTTTATGTGTACCACATCCATGGAGGAGTCTGAGGAGACTAGAAGAGGGCTGATAGGCCCCGGTGACTGGAGTTGCAGGCAGTTGTGAACCATCTGACTTGAACTGTACCCAAGTCCTCTGCAGGAGCAATAAGCACTCTCCAGCTCCACCCCATACACCAGAACTTTTTTAAAAGCATTACACCGAGCATGGTGCCACACGCCTTTAATCCCAGGACTTGTGAGGCAGAGGCAGGCAAATCTGAATTTGAGGCCAACCTGATTACAAAGATAGTTCCAAGACAGAGCTTTTACACAGAGAAACCAAAATAAATAAGTAAATAAATATAGTATTACTTTCGTAAATAATCTATAGATGGCCATTTGCAGTAATGGGGTTGAAACCATGCCCACACATCTGCTCAGTGGTCACTTACTGTGATTTAGAACATACAGGAGGGCACTTGTAGTTTACAAGCATAAGCAGTGCCTGCTTCATCGGTCCCCTCCCCACACGTTTTGCTATAGGTTGGAGACTTGGAACTGGTCTCCTGGTGACACCAAGAGTCCCATGCACCACAGTCAGAACAGATGTGATGTTCATCAGCAAGTGATCCTACATCTGATAGTTTTATAAGACACACGTTTTCATCTAAGTAAGAAAAAGAGACCATTTGGAAATGGCTTTGCAAGGCATTTTAAAGTGTAACCATGTGGTGTGTAAAAGTCTGTACATGCTTCGTCCCATATTTATAAAGCACCTACAGCCTGGAAGGTGGTCCTACGTGCTGAGACTTCAGCATAAAGAAAATTGACAAGCTGGGTGGTGGTGACATGCGCCTTTGATCCCAGCACTTGGGAGGCAGAAGCAGACGGATCTCTGTGAGTTCAAGGCCAGCCTGGTCTACAGAGCGAGTTCCAGGACAGGCTCCAAAGCCACAGAGAAACCCTGTCTCAGAAAACAAAAAAGAAAAGAAAGAAAGGAAGGAAGGAAGGAAGGAAGGAAGGAAGGAAGGAAGGAAGGAAGGAAGGAAGGAAGAAAGGAAGAAAGCTGACGAGGGTCTTAGGACTCTCTGTATTTGGGGCCTCATGGCCTTCTGTTACAGGAGAGTGACAGTAGAGCACTTCTCTCCTGTCTGAAAGAAGAAAGGGTTGCTGGGAAAGCTTTGTTCCTTCAGGTTTGCAGCTACTGGTTTTTGGGCTGGAGAGATAGTTCAGCCATTAAAGGCTAGGCTCACAGCCATAAATAAAGATTTGGTTTTCATGTTCTCAGCCCCATAGCCTCTGCGACACTGCACTGGGGCCTTTTCCCCTTTAATTGAAGAAGGGTTAGCAAGGGCCCTTCTTCTTTGCTGTGCCTCTTCCTCTACCTTCTCAAAAACTTGAGTTCCTAACTTAATGATTTTGGTTTTCCCCCCCTGTGTAATTACTGCTGAAGTAAACAGGTAAGTTGTCATTGGAAGTTCCATTGTGCTGACCCCAGGTTCCCTTGTCTGTAGTAACCCCAGGGAATGAGCCTCAGTGGGTGTGGCATGGTGCCGAGGAAGACTCTGTCAACAGTAAAATGCTACCTGCAGTCACAGTGGTACTGTAGGGAGGAGTGGGGCACGTTGGTTGCATTAGCTTGCCATAAGCTCTGCTCAGTCTCCCAGCCTTTCCCTGGGCTGCCTGTTAGCTTTTTACTTTAGGTCAGGTGGGACGGAGTCTGTATGAAAAACAAAACAAAACAAAAACATGTAGGTTCTAATTATATGCAACATTCTTTGTATACTAAGGATTGTTTTAGACTGGCTAGAACTATATTTGGTTTTCTTAAAATCTCTTACAGGTCAACAGTTGTTACAGTGTTTGTATTGTATGTTTCTGTGTGTGGGAGGGGTGAATACCATGTGTGTGCATATGTGTAAAGGCCAGAGGTCAACTGCAGATATAAATCCTCAAGTGCCATTATCTTTTTTTTTTTTTTTAAAGACTCATTTGTCATTGGCTTGGAGCCCTGTGATTAGGCTCTGCTAGCCAGCCATTGAGCCCCAGGGATCTGCCTTCTCCATCTCCCCAATGCTGGACTTGTGAACATATGCTACCACACCTAGGTTTGGGATTTTTTGTTTTGTTTTTTTAACACGGGTTCTGAGGATCAAACTGAGATCCTCATTCTTGTGTGGGCTAAGTACTTTGATGCTGCTTAATTGGGTCACATAAAATTAAGATAGGATTATCAAGTAGTGAAAAATCTTGAGAGGAAGTAATTCTTACCTTAGGCTTTTGCTTGTTGTGGTTGACAAGCTTTTTAAAATCCTGGTGCTAAATATATATTGTAGAGTTCTAGCACTGTTTTCAGTGATGGGCATATAGGTAAATGAGTAGAAGTTATTATAAAGTATCTGACTTGCTGGTCTGTGTTTTGACAGTTCTAATGTAACAACATAATACCTTTGCACTTTTCCCTTTCAAGCCTACATTCTTCTACTTTGTTGATTCCTTTTCTATTATATTTTCTGCCGTGTTTACAAATATTGAGCTGCATTTTTCTGATTGAAACAAATACAACTGTGATTAAAGAGCCCTGGCAATGAGGTGTTATGGGTGACATAGTGACCTTTAATTATGCACCCTGCCTGCAGGTTTTGGGTCCTGCTCCCAGATGGTGTTCCTTCCTGGACAACTTGACAGAAGAATTAGAAGAGAATCCGGAGAGCACGGTGTATGATGACTACAAATTTGTCACCAAGAAAGACCTTGAAAACTTAGGTAAAATGTGATAAAATAATTATGAAATTGTCTTATTTCCAATTTAGGAGTTTTGAGCATTAGAATCGACTGAGCTGTTTTTGTCTGACTTCCCAAATGTCCTGTTTCCGTCAAATCATATATCAAAAATACTCTAAATGACCAAATTTGTAATCTCTGCTCAGAAAAAAGGCTTAGGTAAGTTCAACTGGCTGACACTGAGCCATAACTGGGAGAGGCTTCCTTTTAGCACACTGATGGCCTGTCCAGAGAGTAGAGCATGGCTGTGAGAGTTTGATAAATGGAAGTGTAATAACTTTGAAATCTTGAAGACTGTAACCAGGTGGTTCTTGCATATTTCAGATTTAGTCATAAAGAACCTAATCCAAAATTTAGGATTCAAATCTTCCAATAGAAAAGACTTTTGCATGTTTGTTCTGTTTTGTTCATTGAGGCGGGGTTTCGTTCTGTAGCCCTGGCTGTCCTGGAACTCGATCTGTAGACCAGACTGTCCTGGAACTGGCTCTGTAGACATGCAGGCTGAACGTTCCAGCCTGCAATCTGAAGTGCTCCAAAGGTCAGAGCGTCCTGAGCACTGACTTGACAATCCAGTGTTTCAGGTTTCAGGCCTGGATTTTTAAATTAGGGATTCACAGCTTTCCATCACTGTAGTGTACATCTGACTTTGCAGAGAGATTTATTTTGTATCAAAGTGTTTAGATTTTGTAGCATTCGACTGGGTGTACTCACTGGGTAGTGAGATCAATCAAAAGAGCAAGACCCCCCCCCCCAACCAGTTCCCTAAACACCTTCCACATGACATCATTAGCAAATATATCTATATTTTGGTAATTAATCAGAGGAAATTTTCTGAGGAAAATTTAGGTGCTAAGCACATCCATACACATACATAAAGTTGTGTGTTTTTACATATCATTACAGTTCAGTTCTCTCTGTTAAGGCTCCAGTGAAAAAGTCCATCCTTATAATTTCACTAATATATTCAACTCTAGGAGGTATTCTCTGATTAACTCTTAAAGTGACAGTGAAAGAGCACCCTAAGTTTAATTTTGTCTTCTTTGTTGTTGTTATTGTTGTTCCAAAATGCATGCTGCTTTAAACTGCTACATGGTTTTCTCCAGTCTGATCTTGAGGTCTAAATATGGGAGTCAAAGTCATGTGTTGCTCAGAGCAGTAGTGAAATAGCCAGGCAGCACATGCCTGTATCCCACTCACTGGAGAGACTGAGGCAGGAGGGTTACAAGTTCCAAGCCTGGCTTGGGATACCTAGTGAGACATTATCTCAGAATAAAAGGAAGACTGGCTAGAGTTGTGTGTCAGCAGTAGAGAGCTTGCCTAGCATTCACAGGACCCTTCTTGGTTTAGTCTTTGGCACCACCGAGAAGGAAACGAAACGGAGAGACTTGCTTGTTTACCAAAGCTGCATTTAATGTATCACACATGGTTTCCTTTGAAGATGAGTCTTGTCATAATATCCATGTTTGTTTTTTTTTTTTTTTCCTCTCTCTCTCTGAGTATTTGCACCTAAATAATTTCTAGAGAGTAGAGAGATGGATCAGTAGTTACAGACACATAATATTCTTGCAGAGGGCTCAAGCTGGGTTCCCACACCCACATCAAGCAGCTCATTGCCACCAGTCACCTAAGCTCCAGTAGATTCTACACCCTTTTCTGGGCTATACAAGCGCCCATACAGATACATACACACTTAATTAAAAACATGTTTTTAAAAGAACTAATTTCTGTGACTTAGCACAGAGTTCTTATGTGTTTGCTAAATGTGTGTACACTTTATATGTTCCTGCCCTGCATTTTTTGTTGTTATTACTACACTTGTGTGTGTTTTGTACTACACATGGTGTGTTTTGTAGTATGCATGTGGAGGCCAGAGGACAACTTTATGGAGTTGGTTCTATCCTTCTACGTTGATGTGGGTTCCAGAGTTGAACTTGGGTCATCCGGTGTGAATGGCAGTTGCTTTACTTGATCCTCTGTCTTACAGGCCTGTATTCTTGTCCTAAATGTAATCTGTTAGGAAAAGCCTACATAAGAGAAGGATCCCGAATACTGATAGTGAGCTCCTTAGTCCACACTGAAACTTTGTGTGCATAATGTAGATCTTTGTACAGTCTATCTCTGTAGCCTAGGCTGGCCTTAAAGTCTTCACCTTCCTGTGGTAGCCTTTCCCCTGTCCCCACCCACCCCACCCCCACCCCTGAGTGCTAGAGTCCTATGTTACCATGCCTGGCACTGATAATAGGTCTTTGTGATACTGAGGTTGACCTCAGAGCCTTGCGCATGCTAGACAAGGGCTTCATCTAACCTGTGCCCCAGCCCAATAGCATAGGTGTTAATGTACGTGAGTTAGGTTTGTCAGCTGTTTGTGTTTGGGAAGACCAGGCCTCTGCATTATCCTTTGTCTCTGGAAATGCTGACAACACTGCTTCAGCTTTGCTTCCCATCCCTACTTAACAGTTTATATTCTGGTCAACCTACTGCTGATTCCCAGCATACTGACCGCTTCCACATCAAACTGCTTCAGCCCTAAAGGTGGCACACGCCTTTAATCCCCGTACACAGAAGGCAGAGGCAGGTAGGTCTCTATGAGTTGGAGGCCAGCCTGTTCTACATAGAGTGTTACAGGACAGACCAAACCCAAGAACCACTGTTACAAGCAATCTTCTTTACCATAGTCATAGTTCATAAAGACTTTTCCATCATTTTTACACTTAAGATGTTTAAGACACTGAAAACGGTATTAATAGAAATACTCAAATCTTCCCCATCGATAGTCAAGATTTAACAGTTCTAGTCCTTAAATATTTTACTCTAAAGGGAAACTGTATCACAATTAAATTGTGTCTAAGAAAAACTTAAGCTTTCTTTAATGACTGGAAAGGTGGCTCAGTAGTTAAGTAATTCCCAGCACCCACCTGGCTACTCACAGTATTCTGAAACTCCAACACCCTCTTCTGGTCTCTACAGGCACCGCATGCACGTGGTGCACAGACAGACAGACAGACATGCAGGCAAACACCCAAACACATTAAATAGAAATAAAGGCTAAAAAGAAAGGAAGAAAAACTTAAATTTTAATGAAGGAAGTCATACCCTCCTCTGGTGAACTTTGGCAGGGCTCACACATCTCATTGGATCACCTTTTCTCCGGGCATATATGCATGGATTCTTCATGGACATCAGACTCTACCACAAGGTAAATACAGGCTGCAGGCATTTCAGGCAATGCTAAACCATCCGTAGCTGCTTCTGCCCTGCTTATGTCCTCATGAAGCATACTTCTGTGCTGTAAGGGATCCACTTTGTTTGGCACAGTAGTCATGGTGTATGGTGTAAACATGCCAGTAAATAGTAATCCTCATTCATTTAACTCTTTTGCTCCGAAAAGGTGAAATTGATGGTAAATCCATTTGCATATGAAGAATATAGGAAGGATAGAATTCGACAGAAGATAGAAGAAACGCGTGCACAGAGAGTCCAGTTAAAGGTAAAGATTCTAGTCATCATTGAACTTACCAGAGGGAATAGTTAAGAAGTCAGCCATCGTGTCCATGGTTCTCTGTCTCTCAGTTCACATCTTTTGCTTTCTTGGTATACTTTCTCATAAGGGAGGGTAGTCAAGTGTTGGGAATAATACAGCCTTGATCTTAACGGAAGGCTGAGACACTGGGCGATGATCTACAGCAGCTGCTGTGAGCACACTAAGAACACCTGCGATTATCAGTTTGACAGATGTCTCCTGGTGTGCTTGGTTCTCCGGTTCCTGCGTCCTGGGATGCCCAGTAGAGACTCAGGAAACAAGCGGCATCTGTTGTGTTGATGGAGAGGATTTAGTGTACGTAACTGTCTACCAGGCAGTAGAGCCCCGAAAGACAGAATCACCGAGATGGGAATAAGAAGGGTTCTAACTGCAGGAAGCCCTGCCATTTTAGGTCCAGGCCTCAAGAAAGAAGTGTTCCAGGGAGGAAGGACCCTAATTCCTAAGAAGGGGCAGTAGGCTGGTGTCCACCACCACAGCTGGGGCCACCTGCTTTCTCATGACAAAGAACTGCTATTGGGCGATTCCAGCCAGACCATGAGCAGACAGGGAGGAGCTTCCTGTTGCCTCTCCCTGCTTTCCTGGCTCTCTGGCATCCCATCCATTGAGCCAAATCACTGAATAATAAAATATTTATAAATGAACATTGGTTTAAAATGTGGATGTGATATCCATACAGCCCCAATAACCAAAGGAGTGGTGACTTTTCCTGAAATGAGGTAATACTCTTCCATTTTCCACAGTTGTTCAGAATCAATAATAGCAGAGACACTGTGAGTGTGTGTTTTAGCAGGAGGAGGTGTGTGCCTGCCAGAATTACATTTTACTTAGTACATTAAATGGAACACTATGTGGAAGAGGGCAAGTTCCGAATTGTCATTAAGAATTCACCCTTTAGGGAGCAAGAAGCAGTGCCATGAGCATTTCAGAGGGTCCCACAATTGTGGCAGAGGGTGGGGAAGGTGACTACAATCCCAGGGATCCCTTGTCGTCTGTGGCTAGCTTCCCAGCAACAGGCCCACTCACAATTCCTTCCATGCCTTTTGACCCATCTGCTGTTTATTCCTTCTGTCATTCTTTCCTACCCTGGGATGCTAAAGTAAGAAATAAGAATGAAGCATCCTTTGTGACTTAGATTACTCACAGAACTACTAGTCCTTAGTGTTAAATGTGTTCATCTCAGTGTCTCAGTGCATCGTTTTCCCTCTTTACCAGAAACTGCCCAAAGTTAACAAAGAACTGGCTCTTAAATTAATTGAAGAGGAAGAGGAGAAACAGAAGTCCACACTGAAAAAGAAAGCTAAGGTAAGATGTCCTAAGGCAGACAAAACACCAGTAAATTGCTTTGCAGCTAATGGGTAATAATGAATATCTTTTTATTGTTGGGGTTCCTCCACCCTTGCTTTTGAGATAAAATATGCTTAGTGTGGCAAGTTTAGAAAATAGGGGGGAAATGTAAAGTTGAAAGCCACTCCCTATAATTTGCATACAGGGGAAGCCTTAGTATGGGGCACATTTCCTCCTATCTTAGTCCTCTTAAAGTTACATGTGGTATTTTCCGGAGTGGCATATGTATGCTGAAATGTTACCATGGTTGTAGAAGACAACAGTGTTATTTTCTCACATTATTAAATGGCTACCTATTCTGTGTTACAATTTTCTTAATCCTTTTGTTTCTAAACAGCTGTTGCTTTTTTCTTTTCTGACTGGGTTTTTGTTGTTGTCTCTTTGACTTTAATCAGCATTTATTTTTATGCTACACTTACATCTGTGCCGCCTCCTCTTCTAGCTGAGGAACAGTTTGCTCCTGTTGGTCAGGGTCATCTGCATGGGGCAGCGGAAGCTGGTGTTGCCGTTAGCCCCCCTGAGCTCTGAACCTCAGTGGTGCATCTGTGTCCCACGGTGTGGTCAGTGACAGACACCCCACATCAGTACGGCTGCACTCAGCACCACTCTCAGAACCAAGCACTTTTTGGACCACCAGCCTTGTGTCCAGTGCCGCTGTGTTCCGGGCACTCCTCATTAGGTCGTGGAATAGCATACACATGACTTCTTTAAAGTGACACCTTTCAGCTATGTACACCCTCGATGGCCTGGCCAATTGGTTGCAGATGTTCTGAGGATAAAAGTGAAAATTTGATCCTCTCGATCTGTATGATTTTGTAGAATTTTCTGGGTCGTCAATTTTTTAATTCTAGAAGTAACTGCTTTTCGTTTTTTGACACAGCATTATGGGAGGTATGTGCTGACAAGTACCTGCTACCTGCCTGCCTTTTCTGAGGTGGCAGTAGACAAGGGACCAGACAGAAAATACAAAAGTAGACACAGTCTTCGTATTGTCCCAAGGTGGGGACAGACATGTGCCTCCTTTTTACAGATTCCTAATGACTCTGGAGTCCTTCGAAGTCCTGCTTCCTCTCCTGCTGAGAGCAGACAGGCAGGGAACCAGTGTAGTGTATATTCTCACACACACACACACACACACACACACACACACTGCCCCAACCCCAGCCCTGCCCACATCTGCCTGGGTCATGGGATAGAGGGCCGGACCTTGTGGCCATGGGCCGCGCTTTGGGGACTCCTGGGGCTTCTTGTCTGATTGCTTATTCTTTTCTCTCTGCTCTCCGACCACCTGGATGAATGCAAGCTGATAAGCCCCGCTGTGCTCTGGTTTCTCTGCCTTCCTCAGAAACCAGGTTCTTACTTGCAGCTGTCTTGAGCACTGGTTGTGGTTAAATGCTACCTCAGCTTCACTGTTCCATTTTGCTGCCTCCTCCGGCAGACTTTTATCCTGGCCTATTGCATTCTTTAAGTAAATTCTTTAAATCATAGGGTGCCCTTTTATGTAGAGTACATTACACTCTGTCTTAAGGGCTGATGCTGGGCTTTACCATTGGTGCTGGATTCAGAGAGGGAAAAGATTGTAAAATGTTATATTCTTCTGTCACCTGCTGTATCTCTTCCTGGCTCTTTAGAGCAGTTCCGTCTTTATAGCTACATCACTGCCCACCAAATTCTTCTAGGAAAGAAACTGTTGTAATAAAATGACTGGATTGACTTCTTATCAACTTAAATCAGGTCCCATCGCTGGTGTTCGGTCTCATTTTTGAAATACGTGATCTCCTAAAATTCTCTTCTTAGATTAAGTTATAGAATTTATCATCTAATGGTTTTACTTCAAACCAAATTGCTCACAGATTAAGGGAAGAACTCCCTCCTCCCCCAATCAGTAAAGAATGCTTGAAAGAGTTGCATGTTACTGCAGACCATCAACTCTGCCTGTGCCTGTAAGCAGGAGTCTTCAGAGCTCCTGGCAGGGAGTGAGTTCCTGACAGGGAGGAAGCTCCTGACAGAGCTCTGCAGCATCTGCTCCTGTGAAAACTGCTCCCACTGATAATGTAATGAGTCTAATAAGCTGTTACCCTACTTGATGTTGAACACACATTGGAAGTGGCCTACCATGTAGTGTATGTAGGTCAGCACTATCTGATGCTCTTGGAACTTAGAACTTGGTGCTGTAGTTATGATTACCTTTCAACAAACACAAATTGAGCTTCCTATATGCACAAGCAGCTTTATATTAAAGTGATAATTCACATTGACTATGTGCAAACATACTGGGTTATATCAGATAGTTTTAACATTAGAATTTTATCATTTAAAGTTTTTTTTTCAATTACCAATTACAATTTGTGTGTTTCTTTTTTGTCTCAGCAATATGAACACTTAAAACTAGATGTTTCTTTGGGCCTTCTGGGAGGGTTGGCCATCACCCCTCACCTCCCGTCATCTTCCCTTCCTGCCCTGTGTGGGGACTCACACTTCTACCTTTATAGCTCATTATTTTGGTATAAAACTCTTTCCCACTGTTGCCCTTCATGCTGCTTCTTGACTTTTTCCTTCCTACTGCAGCTGGCTAGTAATTTTTGTTAAGTCCGAATTGGGAGTTTACAGTATTGTACCTATACAAATTCTGGTAGCCGAGCCACCTCGAATGACTTTGATTTCCCCTGGAGTTAGGAACTATCCAGAGTGGTTAGCACCCATCAGCCCTTGCCTGTACATCTGCATGTACAAGTCTGTACATCACTGCGAGTCTGTGTGGACCAGATGTGTCTGCGTTCCTGAAGAACTCCTTTCTAAAGGCTTACCACCTTCAAACCTCCGGGCCTTCCTGTTCTGTTTCTTGTCCTCCTCTATGTTGGACAAAGAATCAGAAGAACCCTGGGTTTCTGAAGGAATGTAGTTTCTACCTGAATACTTTCCAGTCTCCGATGAGTGCCCAGTAAGGGCTCATGAGGGTAAATCCAAAGCGCAGGTTCTCACCAGCAGCCTCACTCTGTTAGCCTGTGCTCTCCACAGTCAGTGATGGGAGAGGGAGGCAGTGTCCTGGCAGCGAGCTCTCATGACCACTGTGCTATGCTGGGTGCACTTCCAGGCTGCAGGCTGGCCCAGGTAGATTGATGGCTGCTTACTACGTCACTCAGCCTAGAAACCTAGGTCTTTGGTGTTGGGGGAGTTCTCTTAGGAGGGAAATTATATTCTTAATTATTTGTTCATAGTTGGGGTGGGGGACTAGAGAGCTTCAGGAAAATGCAGAGGTGTGGTAGCTGGTATTCCTTGTATGTTTCTATATTGGGACACGGTAATACCAAGTGTCTGCTCAGATCTACAAATGTGATTCTCTGAGGTCATGCTGAACACTGTTTTCATGTGTTTTCCAAACCCTGATGCAAGTGTTGGGTGTGTGTGTGTGTGTGTGTGTGTGTGTGTGTGTCTGTGTATGTGTGCTTATTGCAAAGATCACTAGCCAGACACTTGTAAACTACTTCAAGAACATTTCTATCTTATTCTTTTTTTTTTTTTTTTTTTTTTTTTTTTTCCCTTTTAAGACAGATGTGAAAACAAGCAATTAGACAAGTATTCCCTAGGGGAAATACTTTTACAGCTAAGTCAAAGGAGTTTTTGTTTTATAATAATTCATTTAAAGCACACTTGTCTTTAGGCAGAATAATTTATTTATTGTAAGTTAAGGGGGAAATCTTTAAAATACCAGCAATATATTCTATTTAACAGTCTGTTATTTTAAATATAATAACTTTGGTAAATATAGCAAAGTATCAATTTTTTTCATTCTTTTTTTTTTAACCTAAAAACGGGCACATAGCTGTGACTTGAAACATTGGTTGATGACCAATATCACCTCTCCCACATTTACAGGTGACCTGAAAATTTACCTGGTAGCCCCCTCCTGTCTTCTGAGCCCTTGTGTGAGTTATTTCTCCCAAGACACCTAACAGTGTCATTCAGAATGTGGATAATGTCTGTGAATGTGGATGGTGTCTGTGTCACGCTTAGTCTTAAATGAATACTATTTCCTGCTCTTTGCTCTAGTCACACCTCTCATCCTGATGCTCCAAACTCATCATTCCCACTCAGGCTGGACAGCTAAGAGCTGTTTCCAGCCCCATGTTTAATCCTTATCTCATCTTATCCTCCTACTTTTCAGTTCTGTAGAAATGTGTCTCATGGTGATGGTTCCCTGACTGGCATCAAACCCACTCTTTGGTTTCCATCGCCCAATTCAGGTCCTGGAATGCCTTTGAGTTTTCCTTGGGGCTCCAGTTTGTTTCTTAGCCCTGTGCTATGAGCAGCTGCTGCCACTCTTATGGAAGTTTGCCTTGTCTACTGCAGTCCCTAACACATTCTTCAGTTTATCATCCTCTCTTCCTTTTTTCCTGCCTCTTTTTCTGATTAGTGGCACCCCTAGACCTTCAGAAGAGTCGTCAGAGAGTAGTGAGAATTTCATAGTCTGGCTTGGTTTGCTTTTATTATTATTATTTTTTTTTAAGATGCCTTTTCCAAGTTGCTGGTATACTGTTGTCATAGGATTCCCAACTCCTCAGTCAGTTGAAATGTTCTCTTCATATTTCTTCTTTTTTAACTAAAAATGTTTACATTGTGTGTATGAGTGTGGGCTTGAATGTACATATTCACCATTAGCATGCAGTGCTCACAGAGGCCAGAAGATGTTGGCTCCTCTGGAACTAGAGTTACCGTGAGCTGCCGAGTATGAGTGCTGGCCAAAGTAGCCAAGTGCTCTTAACCACTGAGCCAACCAGCCCCTCTCTTCAAATTTCTATTTGTTGAAACCAACTTGGCTTTCCAATCCCTTCCTAGACGCCATGTCCCCAGGATACCCTCATGGATATTTCTATTAGAATACTTTTCTTTTCCTGAGTATCTTCATACATCTGAGCATCCCTCATACATCTGAGCATCCCTCATACATCTGAACATTTACCTTTCATTCATTCAGAGCATCCCTCATACATTTTTGAATGGTTTTCATAGGGTACCTTGTTGCAAACACATTGTTTTTTCCTTCCCTTTGAAGTTGGGCTCAAGAACTGGAGCCTTCTTTCCTTGATCTATTTTAGAAATGATATTTACTCAAGGAAGACTTTTGAACTTGGTGTCTCTTGGAATTTTAGTTAAGAGCTTATCAATTCAGAGTCTTGTGCAAGTAATAAATGGGCCATACCTCCACATGTCTTGTGCTTTGACATATTTTTATTAGCTCTGTCACACAAATGTGACATTCAGGACTTAGTTTGAAGGTGGAACATCGGCCACTAAAGTCTGTTCTGTAAAGCGAGAGGCATCTCAGGCAGGCTGGCCTGTCCTAGCTCTGTTCCAGGCCATCACTGGTTTATAATTGTTCCTGGATGGCTGCTATCCTCTGCCTTCTGGGCCCTGAGCATGAGATAACCATCATCTGTATCATGAGCAGACATGCTTACTTGTACATGTTAGGAAGCTTGCCATTTACAATGGTAAATGAATCTGAATAGCCAAAGCTTCATTATGTGGTGATTGTACTTTGTCCTTTATGCATGTAAGTGTCCCAGCTTCCAGGTAACTGAGTTGAAGTCAGTAAACTGCTACTGCCAGCTCTCCCTACACTTCCAAGCTGACAACTAACTCCTGCTGTTGTAGAGCATGAGGCTGGAAAGTTTCCTTATTTTAGTTTAATATGGTAGCTGTGTTTCAAAAGCCATACCCCAAAGTTTTATGTATTTCCTTGAAAAATGTTGGGTTGTTTGTGTTTGTTTTCCACTAGAAATAGCAATTGAAGAAAATTCTTTCCTATATATTAAGCATAAAATTAGCTCAAAAGATGTTAGGTCACTATATGTAATGGCCAAGAATTATTAATCACCTGTTAAGCATGCCAATAGAATTTGTTCTGTTGGTGAGAAGTAAAACCTAGAATCAGTAGGAAGTTCTAGAAACCAGTTCTAAGGAAGTTTTGGACATTTTATAATGTTAGTCTGTGCCTTATGTGGCTTGTTGGTTTATCATAGAGAAGTGTTGTAAAGCCACCTTCTGATACATTTCACTAGGCACTGACTTAAAGTGCTCCTGTGTCTCCTGCAGAGCCTCCCGAATATCCTCACGGATGACCGATTTAAAGTCATGTTTGAGAACCCCGACTTCCAGGTGGATGAAGAGAGTGAAGAGTTCCGGCTTCTGAACCCGCTTGTCTCGAGGATCAGTGAGAAGAGGAAGAAGCATCTGAGACTCTTAGAGCAGCGAGAGCTTCAAGCCAAGAGTGTAAAACATGCCCTGACACTTAGCTGGGGGCGGCTTCTTGTTGTTTGCCCACCTTACAGACCCCTGTTGTTAGTCCCTTTGTCCCACTAGACAGTTGTACTTCTACCCTCATGTCATATGTGCATACATGATTCTGTTTGTTTACGTAAAATGTAAGAACCTCAAATGAAAGAAAACAGGACATTTCACAGAGACAGATGATGTAAGATAACTGCTTCTTTAACGTACAGTTTCTGTGAATTACAAAGCCTTTGATTGTACACAAGAGGTAATTAGTTGCATGCTAATTGCTTGACATTCACCCTGGAGTATATCTGATTAATTAAAGGCATTTCTTCTGATGTGCGATGGAACAGCTATCACAGACTCTGATGGGCTGCTGCCTCTAATGAGTCGTGTTTGGCAGGGAGAAGAGCTCTACTTGCTGTTTTTAATTTCAGGAAGAAGAGGAAGAACCGGAAGGAAAACCCAGCGATGCGGAAAGTTCGGAGAGTTCAGACGATGAGAAGGCCTGGGTTGAAGAAGTCAGGAAGCAGCGCAGACTCCTGCAGCAGGAGGAAAGAGCGAAGCGGCAGGAGCAGCTGAAGGAGGACCAGCAGACAGTCCTGAAACCCCAGTTCTATGAGATCAAAGCGGGAGAAGAGTTCAGAAGCTTCAAAGAGTCTGCCACCAAGCAGAAACTGATGAAGTGAGTACCAGCCACCATGCTGCTCCAGCCATGCTCTCCCTCCCTCCTTGCACACTGCCCTGGAAATGGCACCTGTCCCCTCTAGGTGGTGGGTACCAGAGGAGAGAGTGCAGACGCGAGGTAGGGGATTCCCTGCCGCAATCTTGGTGGGAAACTCTGCTTTAGTTTGTTTTGAAACGGTTTTGTAATGAAGCCCAGGATGGCCTTAAACTTGCCATTCTCCTGTCTCTCTCCCCCCCCTCCCCACTTTTGAGTCCTGGAATGATAGACTAACAGGAACTGTTTTGTTTTGTTTTGTTTTTTTGAGACAGGGTTTCTCAGTGTAACAGTCCTGGCTGTCCTGGAACTCACTCTGTAGACCAGGCTGACCTTGAACTCAGATCCACCCTACCTCTGCCTCCCAAGTGCTGGAATTAAAGGCATGCGCCACCACTGCCAGACCAGAAATTTTTAACAGCCAGATTGAGTGCTAGAGGAATTCCTTAGTTGGTAAAGCATTTGCTGTTCCAGTGTAAGGGCCTGAATTCGATTCCCAGCACCCATGCAAAAAAGCTGGATGCAATTGTTCATGCCTGGGAACAGACAGATCCTAGGTCAATCTGCAGACACCAAGTTCAGTAAGAGATCAAGTCTCAAAAAGATAAAGCAGAAGCCAGGTTTAGTGGCATGAACCTTTAATCCCAGGAGGGATTAAAGGAGGCAGAAGCAGACGGATGTTGGTGGTGCAGGCCTTTGATCCCAGCATTTAGGAGGCAGAGGCAGGGGGATCTCTGTGAGTTATACAGAGCGAGTTCCAAGACAGGCTCCAAAACAATACAGAGAAACCCTGCCCCCCCCAAATAGATAGATAGATAGATAGATAGATAGATAGATAGATAGATAGATAGATAGATAGAGTCAGAGGCAGGGGGATTGCAAATTGAAGGCCAAGCTGGGCTCATAGTAAATTCCAGGGTAGCCAGGGCTATGTGGAGAGACCCTGTCTCAAAATTAATTAATTAATTAATTAATCTTAAAAAGTAAAGTGCAGAGTGACTGAATGTACTAGCCTCTGCATCCATGTGCACACATGTGAATGTGCACCTACACACACATAGGCAAATGAGCCAAGCACACATAAGGTTCTTGGTCATGTTTACCCTATCTCAGTTACCTGATTATTAAAAAACTACTCAGAAATTTGCTCGAAATTATAAGGCCTTTGCAACTGAATGGAAAGATGAAAAGAACAATAGATAGTCAAATTCTAGAGACAGAAAGAGAGGTGGCTTTCAGGGCCTGCTCGAGAAAGGAATGAGAGTTCGTGTTCAGTGGATGCAGTTTCAATCGTGTTCAGTGAGTACAGTTTCAGTGCAGACATTGACTGTCAGTTCCCTCACAGTCTACTTAGAAAAGCTCGTTTCCCTGGTAACTACTGTTAGGAAGCTGGAGTGGTTGTTTTCAATATAACCATTGGAATTAGGCCACACTTAGAGTGGGAGTGTGACTAAGCTTGCTAACATTCTTCCTGTGGGCTGGAGCTGGATATTAATGGAAAAAACAAACAGGATAAAAATTTGTATTTAGGAGCTGAAGAGATGGCTCAGCTGTTAAGAGCACATGTTGTTTTTGCAATAGTTCTCAGCATCAATATGATAGTTCATAGCCTTCTGAAATGCCAGTTCCAGGGAATCTGAAGCTGTCTTCTGACTATTACAGAAACAGACCTGCACATGGTACACATACATGTGTATACATGAAACACTCCTACACATAAGATACATTTTTTTTAATTTGTAAAAGTTTTTATTTAATTCTTATTTAATGGAGCTGGAGAAAGTCTCCATGGTAGAGAGTGCTTGCTATCCTTTCAGAGGACCTGGTTTCATTTCTGCCTTGACATCAGGAGGCCCACAACCAGGTGACTCCAGCTCTAGTGAAATCTGGTTCCCTCCTCCTCCAGCCTCTGTGGATATCCCCATGCACAACACACACTCACACAGATTACACACATTTTTTTTTTTTTTTTTTTTTTTTTTTTTTTTTTTTTAATTCAAGAATAAACAGCAGATCTGGCAAGGTGGCTCTGTCACTTGCTGACAACCTGACTTTGTTCCCTTATTCTACATAGTGAAATGACAGAATTGGCTATTGTAATAAGTTGTTTGACTATCACACATGCTCCCTCTCCACACACTAAATAAATATGGTAAGCTAAATTTTTAAAAATAAAACACAAGCAGTAGCTGAATGAACTCACTGTAGTAAAACATGTTTAGTGAGCTAAACGTTTATTTTGAAACGAGCTGGGGAAGTGGCGTTGTTTCCATGAGCCTGCAAAGTCCTGCTACGTAAAGAACTAAGCCACTGGAGTTTGCTGGCATGGCAAAAGCAGCTTATTGAATGCTAGTCTTGACCAGGTTAATGTAGCAAACCCTCTTGCTGTTGTGTAATAAAGCTTACAGGTCTTGCTGTTGTCTAATAAAGCATTGAACCATTACCCTTCAGAGAGCTGGAGTGACTCCTCATGTTTACTCCCTGAGTCACCACAAGGCCATCCAGAAACAACAGCATCAAAATGGGATGTGTTGTGTTTAAGTACTCACTGGACTTGCCCAGTCTGAAAATCATTTTTGTGACAGAAGGCAAATGCAGTCAGTAGTCAGCAGGTTTGAGATAAATGCCTGTGTCCTTCAATACAGATGTCATGCTTTGCATGTAGCTAACTCTATTTGTGAGTTATTCACCCATTTATCAACTTCCCCACCCACTCTCCATTCATCAAACATCCAAGGAGTGCCTGGTGTGAGCTAAGACCTTCCTAGACCCTGAGGACAGGAAGGAAGGAAGGAAGGACACATGGCTGTGTTGCTCTTATCCTAGCAGATGGCTTCTGAGTCACAGAGGTGTGGGAGAGGGACAGAAGAAAGAAGGGCTTAATTTAGGGAAAATTCAAGAAAGTCTTTGTGAGTGTCACGTTGGAACTGGTTTTTTGAAAGGTGTAAGGCTGAGCATTCGGTGGGGTGGGGACAGTCCTGCCAGGCCCCCGGAGAGCCATGGGTAACCATCCAGCTAAGATTAACATCATCAGATCTACCGGTCTCTCCCTCACAATACAAACACTGGAACCCATAGCACAGGCCTCTGCTCTACAATAGTGGTGTGGGAGAGCCTCCACTTCGGAGGAAACACTCAGAGTTTTAGAAGAGATGCAGCCTAAGCTTCCAAGCAAGAAGAGCTGATAGATTCCAAGCCAGGTTATTACCCAAAAGACCATTGGAGTGGGGGAGGGGGGAAATGGACACCAAACACCGAGCTGGCTTCCAATTTAATCCCAAAGCAGAATGGAACAACCCAGCTGACATTGAAGGGTCTAGCAGATTCCCTGTGATGTGGTGCAAATCTAACACTAAAGTATGGAGCTGGGTTCTCAGCATACGAATTCTAGAGTCTGTGTCTTGTCGGTGGTGTTCAGTGGGCAGATGGAGACTTTCTGGGACTGTTTCGCAAACCCAGTGCCTGACTGCACTGGACTGGGTAATCCTCAGGAGATCATAAACCTATTTTAACCAGGGTAGTTGATCCCTGAGATCTGGCGGTGAAAAGGTCATAGTCAGTAGCCTGGTGGGGACAGTCTTTTAGGCTTGAGAGTAAGTGTGTTATAGACAGGAGAAACTCAACCTCAGGAAGTGGGTAGTAAAGCAGTGAGAGAAGGGAGTTGATTGACAGTGGGTTTAGTAAGGAAGCAGCTAGTGATGGGGCAGGGCCAAGTCAAGAGACTAGCCTCACAGGGCAGGTGTGTATCCTCAGAGCTGAGGGACCAGGAGGGCAGAAAGGTGTGTATCCAGCTTGCTGGCCTCAGGTGGGGTCTAGCCACATAGGCTCTTTAGGTGTGTGGGGCAGTGGACACCTTCAGGACACAACATGGAGGAACAGAAGCCAAACGGAGTCCCTAGGTAGCTCCTGGATAGTTCTTCTGGCCCACTGTGTGATTGTTCTTTGAGTTGGTGCTCAGTTGGTTCTGGGAATTCAAAGATTTTCTAAAGTAGTTTCTGCCTTTAAGGACCTCATCTGCAATAGGTAGTGTAGTAGATCTTAGTGACTGTCTTGTTGTGGGGACCTTCAGCATACACAGGTCATGTCAGTCATACTGCTTGGCTTGTTCTTTTAACCGTTAATCTTGGAAATCTTGGCTGTGAGTATCATATGTCTACTTTGTGGCTGCATAACAGTCTTTAGGATGGGTGTGTAGCTCTTTACATAGCCTTTTCTCTTGGTGTGTATCTAGGTTGTTTGCACCTTTCCATTTCACACGGCTGTGAATGTACTCATGTACAAGCATTTCTTCAGAATGTGTTCTCAGTGGCACATGCTGGATCAGAAACTGTTTGTGATATAGATACTGTCAGGCTGTCCTTAGCAGAGTGCCTTCTTCCCCATAGCTGCAGCAACTTTTGAGTGCTGAGTCTGCTGAGAGGCGAGGCATCACATTTTTGGCTCTTTAATTGACCCACAACCCCCAACTGGAGCCTTGAAGCACCATTTGCAAATTAGAAATATCAAGCGTGTTTATAAACTTATAGGAAAGGCAGAGATTTGTCAGTTATTAAGTCTTACTTTTTCAGTGTGTATGTGTATGTGCTTGCCTGAATTCATGTGCACCGTGTATGTGCAGATATTTGTGGGGGATACCTGGATTCTGAGCTGAGGGACACTCCTCTACATTGCCTTCTGCTCTTCATCTTGCCCTCCCTGTAAAGGGATTTTAAAGTTGAAGCTGATTTTTAATTAAATGTTGCTAATTAAAGAAATTACAAAGTATGTGTGTGTTTTAAACCTCAAAGAAGTGTGTCATTCTCCTTTCCTGGGGCAGTAATGAATATCTCGTTTGATTTTTTTTTTTTTTCCCCCTTGTAGTTTATGCCCATTTTTCTTTTTCATATTAAGCTATGCTTACTAATCATTTAGGTTCTTCTTCTGAGGGGCCTCAGTGTGCCACCCTGGGTAGCTGGGACACTTGACTTCTAATCTTAATTTCTGTGTCTTCTTTTAGCAGTTACCATGTTTTTCTTATCTTGTCCTGCTTACTTTTTTCCCCCTGAAATATATAATTGTGCCAATTAGAAAGTGTCATGCACCATCACTCCCCGCCATATATACCCCAGCCCTAAAATAGGGAGGGGAGAGGGGGTCTAAGTGAGAAAGGAAGTCAGTCCATCCCCTACCTGTGTGCTTCTTTGCATCCTATCTCAGATGTTCTACAAGTCTGACCAGTCACACTCAAGCAGCCCACTGACCTGCTGGGTGCCAGCCACACTCAGCAAGCCGGTGTTCAAAGGGAGGGAAGTCGAGCCTGCTTTAATGTAGAAGTCTGCACACCATCCCCAGCTGTCTCTGATCTTCTGCCATGGCTTGTCCTAAAACTCAGCTCGCCTCTCCAAGCAACCTAGACAGAACAAGTTTTTACAGGCGCAGGAGGAGAGGACACTGGGAGAAAAGCAGTAATGTGCTCTAGCGTGGAGGAAGTTGGGGCATTCTTAAAAGAGTAGTAATTTCCCACAATTGACTTGAAAAGTCTTTTACTTCACAAATTAAGGTTCTCTGTGGCCCACTTTGTCTCTGGCTCCATAGCTGTTCGGAGTTCCTATTAACTTTGAAGCTCACCCTTTAGAGCTGTAAAAAGAACAAAGGTGAGCAGGCTAAGGAATCTGCCTAGGTGGACAGTTTGCCGCACTGCACTCAGCCTGCCCCTCATTTGAGTTATTTAAAAAAGTGAAACTCGATTTTCCTTTCTTCCAGTTTGTCATGTGGAAACTTGTCACTGGGAACACTTGATGGACAAGTCTCCTGAAGAGAGGTGCATAAATCAAGTGTGGTCTGAAACGCACCTGAAATGCAAAACTCCCTCCCCTGGAACCCAGGCTTTAGACTCCATCCGTATACGGCCCGGGGCGAGTCATTTAACACTTACCTCCCTTTTGCCATCTATAAAGGATAAATACTCCTGTCTCAGGGATGTTGAAAGGATTAATTAGTTAGTCTGTAAAGAACTTTGAAGGTGGCAAGTGCTTTCAGAGTGCTTCTTAATGACATTAGCGCCTAGGAAAGAGCCAGCTTCTGTGCTAGCCACTTAGCCTCAGACTAATGAAGGTGTGCTTAGCACATTACACGGAGTTATAAAGTGAGATCAATTTCTCATGGTGTGAACATCAAACATCGGCTTCAAAGCCTCAGAGGAACATCACTAGGTAGTAGCTCCCTCTGGAGCAGTGTTCCAGTCCATAATTAGTCACAAAGATCATTCCAGGGTAGAGTGGATGTCACACAGTTGCCTTTAGTTTGTTCTGTCAGGTTCTTAGTAGCAACTTTAACCTTAGTGGTCCATCCGTGGGGTCCCTTGGGAAGGGAAGGTGCGAAAGGGAGGGTGTCCTTCACTTTGTTTTGTTTTTGTGCCCTGGCTTGTTTTGAAAAGTAGGAAACAGAATTGTGAAGGAAACTGTTTTCTTCCTTTCTGGTTCCCTCCTCGGTGTTCTTGGGTCTCCTCGGAGGGCTGTGCATGTGCTGCAGCCTTTCTGAAGCAGTCAGTGAACAGATGCATACTGCATGTATCTAGGCTTACTTCAGTTTTCTCCCTCTAAAACAAGTTAACAGTGTGTGTGTGTGTGTGTGTGTGTGTGTGTGTGTGTGTGTGTGTGTGTGTGTGTGTGTATTGCAGGGGTGGGAGGTCTCAAGATGTTCTGATTTATGATAGAACATTCCAGTAATTTGCAGGTTAAGTTTTATGCATCATTGCTTCAGAATCTGAATGTAGTATTGGTCCTGGAGACTGGGATATGGTGGTACATACCTGTAATCCCATAACTAGGGAGGCTGAGGACATGGTGTGCATACCTATAATCTTGTAACTAGGGAGGCTGAAGCAGGTTTGCCCAGCATTAGGAGCAGCTTGGACTATTGAATAAAAGTCTGTCTCAGTACACACACACACACACACACACACACACACACACACACACACACACACCAGCACAGGAGATCACAAGGATTTTTAGCTACAAAGAGGAAAATTAATTATAGATCAGCCAACAGTAATAGAGATTCCCATTGTATAAAGAGATTAGAATAGTTTAGAAAACCTGATCAAGCAGAGAATTGAGATTTAACTCTGGAATAAAATATGTTAAAACCTTAAGATCCCAGCCATGTCTCAGTGAAAAGAAATTGTGTACAATTTACCCAGAGTATTCCAGGATAGACAGGAGAAAACCTGTCTCAAAGAAAACAAAACACAAAACAGGAATTTACCTGAAGTGCAAATTGTTTCTGTTCCCAGACAATGTGAACAGATGGATTGTATTTGAGCTGTCCATGCAGAAGATGGGGACTACCTACAGCTGAGACTAGGAAAGCAGACATGTGAGAGCAACCCTCTGGGGCTGAAAACTATTTGCACATACTGCTTTGTAGAGGCCGCTTGTCCACCTACCTTACTGGTTTACATACAGAGTGAATTAGCATCACTACCACTATAGACCAGCTCAGGAGACCATACACCAGAAACGTTGTTTCTTGTGTTTTAGCTTCTGAAGTACAATCCAGGAACATAAGTACAACCATTGAGGTCTAATTCCTTGAGTGTTGGATTAATTGGTGTTTTTGTCAGCCATTGCTTTTGCAGTGGAGAATGATAGTGTGAGGGCAGCCGCCTCCTCCTCTGGGTCCTGCTACACCGTGTGCAGGAAAGAATTTTCTTCATGTGACCAGCAAAGTATGGTAGGTACCTAATGTGTCATTCTTTTAAATCTCCTACAGCAAAACTCTTGAAGATCGTTTGAAACTTGAAGCAAAACACGGGACATTGAATGTATCGGACACTGCTGTTGGCAGCAAGCAGTTGACATTTACACTGAAGAGGGTGAGTTGTTTGCCAATGTTACTTTTTCATTCACACGGGGATAGCAGTGGGTTTACGTCTGTCTTTGGGACCACTTTCCTAAGCTTCTCTCTTGGAGGAAGATCTGTTCCCTGCTCTAGTGATTGACTCCCAGAGCCCCTGCTGGGTGGCAGCCAAGGAAGAGTGACTGGAGTTTTAGTGATTATGTGGTGCCCTGTTTGGTAACCTGCTGTTCCACTGGGTTTTTGTGGCTCCCTGACTGAGGGATAAACACACCCAGTATCTACCTGGAAAACACTAGGAAGTAACTAGCTGTAATGCCTCATGACAATCCCATCTGGCTCACCCAAATACAGCCATTTCCCAGGGTGCTTTCTCAGCCAGTGGTAGTCTGTTATCAGTTGTCTTGAAGATGCAGTTCTTGCTAGCCATAGTGATAATGCCTTTGCACTTTGTGAGAGGACCGAGTTGCTTAAGTAGCTGCCATTAGCTAACACATGAAACATGGTCTCTTCTCCCCAAAATAATTGTCTCATTCCCAGTTAGTCCTCTCAACAAAGTCATCCAGTAAAAAGCGTGACCTCACCTGTGACTCCTTTTGTGAACTGACATGTCGCTTGCATGCCATAACATTACAACCCTGGTTTTTCTTTTTAAGTGTGTATATTTCTTTAATTGTTAGCAATATAGAAGGAGAAACTGTATTTCACACAGGAACACACTTTAGCAGTGTGTTTTATGGTTTTCTAAAACTGTCAGTCTGTAATTTATCAGAATTTTTAGACTCTTTTCCAAAATCAAATGAGCGGAATTTGACTTGTGTTAACGAGGCTTATTGTTAGCCGCAGCTTTATCTCACCTTTGCCAGCAGGACCCTCTAGAAACAAACCCACAGTTTTTCTGTGTGGCCCCGCCTGGCCCTGCGTGGCCCACTGCAGTGCAACACCACTCTTGTTGCCTAACCATAGCCTCAGGTAGCCGAGCAAGGGGAAGACAAGAAGCGGCCCTGAGTCCACTTTAAGTGAAGGTGGAAAACACAGACAGAAAGGGGCATGCACACTCTCGCCCTTCCCTCGCTCTTTTTCTCTTTTCCTTTCCTTTTGGTGCTCAGTGTCGGTCCTCCAGGTCTGTGCACATGCCAGGCAGCACTCTACGACGGAATACTTCCCCATTGCTTTCTAGTATGTTCACCGTCTGCACCACCTCCCTCCACCCTGTCACCTCAGAGTTGGGGAGATAGCTTACTGGGAGAACACTGGCCAAGAGGCCCTGGTCATTTCCCACCACCACACAACACAGAACTCTTAAATCAGAAGACACCAAGTTAAATGTCACTTTATAAATTTGTGGTAAAATGAAACCGTGAGAAGGTACCCAAGAATTGCTTGAAGTGCCCCCAGAATCAAGTGCAGGCTTTGAAACTATTTGGGAGAATATACTCCATCAATTAATGTTTGGTTTGTGTGTTTTATTACTTGATTGGCATGTTCTCAATTATATCAGTGTTAAGTTAAATGTATATTTAGAGAATGTCTGTATTTGTTTATAGAAGTTTCTTTTTATTCTGTTTATCGTATGTGCTATATTGAGGCAGAATCATAGAGCTGTCCCATATATGCTATCTGCAGTGTGGGTAGGGTTCACAGGGAGACTGTCCACACTAGTGCTCCCCTTCTCCTTCAGGGCTGTGGGCTGCTGCAGGGTAGTCAGGCAGGAAGTATGAGGAGGAGGAACAGCTGACTTAGAAAAGACCTAATTGCCCCATAAATCTTGATGAGTGGGTGACACAGTGGCAGGGTCTGCAGTGCAGCCTTGGGGAAGGAGGCTAATGATAGACTTTTGTGTGCGAGCTTTGTCTGCAGAACAATAGTGGCCTCCTCCCAGCTCCCCTTGCTGCCTGCTGTAACTACAGGGCCACACTTCCACAGACTCAGAAAGCCCTTTCCTCACAGCTCCCAGCATCCTGTCTGTCTACCCTGAGCATATCATTTTCCAACAGGACCTAAAGAAATGCAATCTGTATCTTTTGTGTGTGTGTGTGTGTGTGTGTGTGTGTGTGTGTGTGTGTGTGTGTGAGTGTGCCATGTCATGCGTGTGGAGGTCAGAGGACTGCATGTGTCATCAGTTCTCCCCCATGTGGGCCAAGGGGATCGAACTCAGCTCCTCATCTGACTAGGTAGCAAGCACCTTGACCTACTGCACCACCTCTGCAGCCTAAGGTCATGTTTTTATTTTTAAAAACCCACACTGGCCATGACCAGAGAAGTAACCAGGAGGATGTGATTGCATCACCATCCCCTACCACCACTCAGTTTGGAAGGGAGCCTTAGGTGTAGGGCACTGGGCGGCTTCCATGCTAAGTTGGAGAGCACACCAGTCATGGCTTACTCTAAAAGTGCACAGGAGACACTGATTGTCCTAAACGGACCTGGAGTGGTAGAGAGTGGAACAGAGCGCCCTGGAGATGCGGAGAAGGGCTCTTTTTGGCATTGACAGTTGGTTTCCTTCCCTCACCTTCTCACATCCAGTTTAAACTCGGGTGGTTTCTTCAAGAAGGAGACACTGCATTTTATCACGAAAGCTCCACGGGCAGCAGTGGGGCCAGGCCTTCCTCCCCCTGTGCAGCCACCCAGTACCCCATCACCACCAAGCACTGGTATAGCTTTCATACTCCATAGCTCCTCTGTCCAGCTGGCCTGCTGAGAGTGGGGTGCCACTGGGGAGCACTCCCACCTCTCAAGTGGGCAAGTGAAGTGAGGATGAGAACTCAGTGGGGACCATCCCCCATCAGTCAGCCTGGGGCACCCCAGACCTGTGAACCTGGAGCCATCTGCCAAGCCTGGCAAGGGTTAATAAGAGAAGTCTGCTCTTTCCAGGAAGGCAGGACTAATCTGTGCTCTCTCCCTTCCCAGCACCCAAAAGCTCTTTGGAACTACTCCTAATGAGTGAGTTCATCAGGTTTGGGTCATAACACTTTTTGATAAAATATGGTGTTTTTTGTTTGATTTTAAGTCTGTGTGAATGAATTCACAGTTGAGGTGTACAAGCTGAGTGGGCTTGAGTGGTTTTCTGGCCACTAAAGCATCCTACTGTGTGCTCAGGCTGCTCTGCTGTGTGGCTGCTTCTCCCTTAGGACATCCCGGAGTCACCTCCTGTGTGCTCTGCTGGTGTGTGTGTGTGTGTGTGTGTGTGTGTGTGTGTGTGTGTGTGTGTGTGCATCTCCTCTGGCCCAGAAATTCAGAATTTCTCCTTTGACAGTGGAAATTGGCCTTTGTCCAGCAGCAGGCATTAACAGGATGCTGAGCTATGCGGCATTGAACCCGGACTCCATAACTGGGCAGTCCTTTGCTGTGTCCTGAAGGTTTCCAGGTGATCACTGGCCTTTTCCTTTCCTTTCCTTTCCTCTACTCACCTCACTGTCTTTTAGTCTGAACAGCAAAAGAAGCAACAGGAGGCTGAGAAACTGCATCGCCAAGAGAGGAAAAAGCTGAGAAGGTCTGCTGGTCACCTGAGGTCCAGACCCAGAAGAGGCCGTCCCTTTCACTGAGGGAAGTCTGCCTGTGTTTGGCTGGGATTCTCAGAAGCGAATCAAACCAGGCGAGGGAACGTGGTAGTTAAACCTCCAGGTAGACGCATGTGCCCTGCTGGTCTGACCGGGCCCCAGCAATCCCCGGGTGTTTCTTCTAAGTTGTTGCCCCCTTAAATACTGTCTTCTCTGGGGGTGACCAGGGAAAGCAGCCTCATTTCTAATAATAGAAAGATCTACATGAAATGAAAGCAAGAGATTATCATGTTTGCAAGAATGTCTTTTTTTGTTTGGTTTTGGTTTTTCGAGACAGGGTTTCTCTCTGCAGCCCTGGGTGTCCTGGAACTCGCTCTGTAGACCAGGCTGACCTCAGACTCACAGAGATCCACCTGCCTCTGCCTCCTGAGTGGTACTAAAGATGCACCATCACTGCCCAGCCAGAATGTCCTTGCCCACAGTGTCTTCTGCCTCTCAGGACTGAGCCAAACGAAGTCCCGCTCCTATTTACCTGGTGTCTGCTGGCTGGCCCTGTTTCTGTCCATGAGTTTATGCTGGCAGGTTTACTTGCTTACTTTTGTATTCCTTCGGTATACTTTCTAAGCTATTTTTATATCAAGAGTGTAAGTTAATGGTAATAAATAAGAAATGAATGTTGCTGGCTGTTTTAACTTGCCACAGAATCTTGTTGTTATTTTCTGATTCGGTTCTATCTGAGATGGGCAAATGCTTATAGGAGAGACTGTTGATGTGCACGACTTCTCCGAGGAGGACTCCTTCCTGCCTGAGGAAAAATTCAAAAATTCACTTCCGCTTCCATAGTTGGGAGTTTGTTGTGTGAACAAGTGAAAGGGAGCTCTCTGGACTGCACCTGTGTTAAGTCCACAAGGTAGGACACTTAATTAGCACAGTCTGATGATGTGGAAAGGACATGGCCTAAGAACACCCCGCCCCATCAGTGTCATGGACTTGCTCACACTGTCCCTCTTTCAGCGTGGCCTCTTGTGTCTTCAGCCCGTGATGTGAACTCAAGAATTTGCTGCCTGGTGGTGCATGAAACCACCCCTGTCCTACCTGTTAACTCCTTAAAGCAGACCCCTCCCCAGGCTGAGCCCGGGCACCCTTCTTTCCCTGTCGTGAAGTTTTTTGTGCTTACGGAGAGTGCTACTCTGCCATTTTTCTGTGTTTATAGTTGATTTTGTACAGCTGTCACTAAAGTACTCAAGATGGACAACCTAAGGGATTTGGCTCTTGGTTTCTGAGGGTGGTGGCATGTGCGGACTGTTCACACCACTCCAGGTCAGGAAACAGAATCCAGGCCGGGCCAAGGCCTTAAAGGGCTTGCCTGAGAACCTGGGACTGGTTTCTGCCAGCTAGCCCCCACCTCCAAAAGCACCCAGCCTCCAAGATAGCGCCACTGCCTGGAGAGTTAGAGACCTGTGGAGGACGCGTGTCAGATTCAAAACTGAACCTACGTTGTTGGTTACCGGCCCTAGGACATGGCCCTTGATCTCCCCTGCCAGCAGCTGATCTTGGGGAGCATTTCTGAGCTGGTGTGAGAAGTGCCACCCCAAAGCCGGGCACCAGGGCACGGGACCAGGGTTCCTGAGTGACACATCCTCCTCTCCAGATCCCAGGCAAAGCTTTGGTATCCTAGACCCAGTGCCTAATCTTTTTTTCTCAAATTATTGCAACAGTGGTCTTTGGAGAGAGGAAGGCATGCTCAGAGACACACGATTGGCCAAGAGGGACATGCTGACATGGGGCAGCCTTCAGAGAGCACAGACCCAGGGCTGAGAGGCTCTGGGAAGGTTAGTTCAAACCAACCCCCCCTTCTCAGAATCCCAGAGGCTCCCTTCGCGTCCATAACACCCTGAGTCCCCGAAGGAACCTTGCCTGGCACGGAGTCCCTCATTTGCGGTCACCACACTGACCTTCCTCTCTGTAGAGCATTCCAGGCATTCTCTCAGCCCTTACATGTTCCACTCCTTCAGCTCAGAAACCCCTAAGCCTCTCAGGTTACTTTCTCTCCCTGTCTGTTCAATTCTTCTCTGTTTAAATTGTCACACTCCAGTGCCAGCATGCCAAGATTACAAATGACGCCCCATTTAAATATGGTTTTAAAACCTTACTGTGGGGCCACAGAGATGGTTCAGTGAGTAGAGGCACCCGCTGGCTTCCTGAGTGGAAGAAGAAACCAGCTTCAGTAAGTCATCTTTTAGGTGCACACACACATACACTAATAAATAAACAAACATTTAAAGCCTTGCTATGGAAAATGTCAAGTATATACAAAAAATGGAGGACAGTTGAAGGATCCAGCCTGTCCCACCTAGTGGATGCCACCTCTCTTCTGCTTTGAGGAAACAGATCCCAGCAGCATGCACCTTGCTCACCATGAATGTTCTAGGTTAACTTGTCCAATGTTGGCTCCTGTTCCCAGAAAGTCAACTCAGTAAGGGCTGGGGAGGATGTTTGTTTGTTTTGTCTCTAGAACAGTGTCTGCCACATCACAGATATCTAGTTAAGCTGCTGTGGGGGACCTACCAGGGAAGACCACTCAGATTAGTCTGTAGCCCAATGAAAGCCTTTATTCCAGCCACTGAGAGTACACTTAGGTATTCAGGACGCAAGTATAGCTCCAAGCCTTTAGGGGCTTTTCAAGTCCAGCTGGCCGGAACACTGTTCAGTTGGATTAACCTATCTGTGAGCACTCCCACCCACCCAGCTCACACCCAGCTTTTGTTCACACACCTACCTGGCTGACCCAGGGCCCTGAAGCAGCCTTCTTTTCCTCTAGCCCTCCCAAGTTCTGCAGCATGAGTGTGACCTTGGAAGGGGTCCCCCCTCGGGGGGCCACCCCTGCCTCTCTCTGCCCCCCCGCCCCCAGTGGCCACTGTTTGTCTGTTGGAACCCCTGTATCCCTCCAGTTCTGCCGGCATTGCTTGGTCAGTGGTTGCCTGTTTCTGAGAATTTCCCTTCTAGTCTGGGTCCCAGGGGGTGGGGCTGACCTGGGGGTCCCAGGGGACAGGGTTGACCAGGGGTGGAGTAGAGGTCCCAGGGCCACAGCAGAGACGTAAAGGCCAGTTTTGCTGTGCTGAGGGAGCATGGAGAGTTAGCCACTGTGACTGACAGATGAGAGGATTTAGGCCAGGACAGGCGTGGCTCCATGTCAGCTTGCTGTCCCCTGGGACATCAGGGTCTCTGAAGATCTTCCCATTTCCACACCTCACGGCCACTGGCCCTGCTCTCCCTTCTGTCTGTACTGAGTTGGATCCTCACACCAGGCCGTGAGAAACTGTAATCCTTTAATGATGGAGGGCTTTCCAAAGCTAGCATGGAGTCTGTTAGTGAAGACAACAGAGGAAGCAAGAGGAGACCTAGGTCTGGCCTGGACTTGTTCCTGGCTAAGCTGCCAGTTAGTGGCACAGCTACTTAACCTGCTGTTCCTTGGTATGTGCATCTGTAAAATGGGTTTAATAGTATCTGTCCCCTGAAAACTTCAGAGAGAGTTTGTGGAGCTTAATGAGTGAGGTCCATTAAATCCTCAGAAGAAAGGTGGAGCTAAATACAAAGCACTATTGTAATTACCCTGCAGGTTCTCCAAGCCAGGTTGGATCTTGTTTTAAGAGAGTTACCATGACAATGGATTTGTTTTAAAAACTTGAGTTTCAAAGGCATAGTAAGGAGTCAATTTCATCTTGCTAGTTTTTGTTGGGAGGGGGAGGGTAGAGCCTCACAACTGCTTACTGATACTCATGCCATGACAGCCACTGTTGCTGTTCACAGTGACCTCTGTGCTCTGAATGGCAAAGACACTGAGAAGCCTCCAAGGTCTGTAGTTTGCAAGCTGGAGATCCAGGGCAGCTAATGTTAGAAGCTTCAGTGCACTGGCCACAGCTACGAAGAAAGAGCTGGAGTTTCAGACCCACCCTGCCTGCAGAAAGGGCCAGTGTGCCAGCTGGAGGGCGCTCACTACACCGCTGTTCCACCCAGCCTTCGATGGGTTGGATGAGGCCAGCACTACTGGTCACAGCTGTCACTTTCGTCAGTGTATGGCCAGGGCCCAGTCCAGTTCACATAGACTTCCCATCATACTGACATGTGCCATGCTCCGCTGACATGGCCAGTCTGGAGCTAAGTGGTTTTACATGACATCTCATCTGGTGTTGGTCAGGTTGGAACTGACATTTACCCATTCACTGGCCTGAGACAAAGTTCTTTCCTGTCTGGACCTTCATCTCACCTGAAGGATGGCACTAGTGATAGATAGTACCTACCTCACAAGTCATGTTCAGCAACAGTTGTCACTCACGGCATCCACAGCAAGCCAGCTCACCGGCCTTGTATGTCACAGGAGGTTCAGAGCTTTGCCTAAGGCCCATTTCTCCTCCACAAACCAAGAGCCACAGGTCCCTTCATGGCCCTGTAGGGTCATCTCTAGTCAGCCAAGGCCAGATGTGTTATCCTGCCTTCCCAAATACTGCAGCAGCATCCCTATTGTCACCCTATGTCACCCCTGTGGCACTTTGGTAACAGAGTCTGGGGTGGAGGGAGGCTGGATTGAGGTGGTTGACCCTGTAGCATCCACAGTTGATATTAGTGGAATGTGTTAGTATGGAAGGTGGAGGCTAGAGGTGTGGCTCAGTTCTGACATCACATAAAATAAAAGGAAGTCAGTGAAAGCCACACAAAGGCAGCCAGTGTGAGTTTTGTGGACCGCTCTTACGCAGGAAACCCTTCAGTGTCACCATGGAGGTGGGTAAGAGCCCTCCCAACCCACCCCTGCCATCTGCAGATGGCACACCCCCATCAGCTTTAGAAGGCCAAGACTGAAAATAGCTCCCAACAAGAAAACTCAATATGTTGCTTACACTCACATTCTCTGAGTGTCAGCTTCCTCAAATCACAAGACCAGACACCTGGCCTGTTGCCTGCCTTTCCTCAGGTCCTGTGCTGGCCCAGGCAAGAGCCCCATACACAGTGAGTCCTCCCTTTACTGAGGATCCTTGAACTAGTCTGGATCAGTAGGCTCTAGTGGAAACTGCGGGCCTCAGCAGTTACCAGCACTTTGGCATTGTCTGGGTGTGGCAGTGAAGGTCTGGGAACCAGTACTCGGGAATCGGTACTGATTGTTAGAAGACTGAGGATGACAGGACCTCCCTCCTAGTTAGTGACATGAAGGACAATAGTGAGATCAGGGTCACAGATCAAGAAGAGCCAGTGTTCATTCCCACTCAGATCCTGATGTGGTCAAGGCTGGGATTTTCCTACCTTGTCGTTACAGAATGAATTCTGTGTGCGTGAACTTAATGTGGCAGTGCAGACTCCTCCCAAGTCTCAAAGGCTAGAACTGTAATCACAAACCAGTCAATAGCAGAGCACTGGCCTCAAGCTGAGCACTCTCCACAAGCAGAGCACTCACCACAGGCAGAGCACTCTCCATAAAGCAGAGCACTCCCCACAGGCAGAGCACTCCCCACAGGCAGAGCACTCACCACAGGCAGAGCTCTCTCCACAGGCAGAGCACTCCCCACAGGCAGAGCACTCCCCACAAGTAGGCATGCTGCTTTGCTCTGGGAAGGCTCCAGAGGCTGCTTGCCCTTAGCTGTGGGGCTGTGCAGACTGCTTGGGCTCATACATGTGGAACT